TAGAATTTTTAATGTTAACATCAATTGTAAATTTATTACATTTAATTTGATTTATTTATAATTACTTTATATAAAATTTTAAAAAATATATATTTACTTCAATCAAAATATAAATAATTAAAGTAAAAAGATAATCATAGAGTTAAAGTAGAAAAAAAAACTATTTATCTTCCTTAAATTAAGAAAAAACCACTATTTTTTTGGGACAAATTTTGAATAAAAAACATCTATTATTTTGAAACAAGAAAATATACTAATTTTTGTTATCAGAATATATTTATTAACAACTATAAGATAAAATTTACAAAAACTTAAAAGTTAAAACTTAATATTCATATAAAAAGAGATAATATTATTTTCACCTTTTTTATAGATGATGGTCACTTTTGGTGGTACCTCTGCCTTCAAGCTTTCAAGTTTCAATTATAAGAGAATAGTGAAGTAGTGCTGCAATGGTGTGATGAACAAGATGAACTATCCAAGTCGTCTCACAGCAGACCTCCCCTTTCTAACTGACCTCATACATTCACTTGGTTCAAATTTTAGGATTATTATTGATTGTTGGAAAGAGCTTTAATTTAATTGTATTTTACTGACTCTAGAAAAAAATTCCGGACGAAATGGTTCCATGCAATATAACCAATTACATCCCCATAATAAATTAACTATATATCAACTAGAATCAATTATATCGTTAACAACTTAAATAAGTCAATGATAATTTTTTTTGTAAAAAATAAAAAATTTTGATTTTGAATCATATAATATGTGATGAAGTGAAATAAAAAAGAATTATTTTTTATTGTACAATTAATATAAAAATATATATGGTTAAATCTCTAATTTGATCCTTGAAGGACTTGAACTATCGTACGGACCTCCAATTTATCGTTACTATTTATCAATTTACCCTAAATTGATTATTTTGTACAAAAACCAATTGACATGTCTTATTATTAATGTGACCGTTAAGTTACTGTTTTTGTCGTTAAGTTATTGTTTTTTACCGTTAAATAACAGGTACATAAACTTTTTTTGTATGGAATGACCAATTTAGGGCAAATTGGTAGACAGTAAGGATCAAATTTCAAATTAAGGATATGTACAATAATTTATGAACTAAATCAAGAATTTTTTTACTTCAGAAACCAAATTAAAAATCTGTATAATCATTTATAGACCAAATTAAAGATTTAATCTAAATATTGACCACACCACTTACACAACTGGTTATATTAACCTCCTTGATTCAATAATTTTTGACCATTCTGGACCATGCCATTTTCTTCACCACTCACAGCTTCCTAAAAATTCCTTCCAGGGTTAATGTAAAGCATACGAGCCCTAGGTGGTTTGTAGCCAAGAAGCTAGTTTGGGAAAGTGATTTGTAAAGTTATTCATTGAATTTATTAAAATATTTTAAATAAAATTATTTTTTATATTATTTTATTAAAAATATTTTAATAAATTTATAAGATAAATTGTACTTTTAATTTATAATTTGAATTTTAATACACGAATTTCTTAATTTAATCTAATTATGTGACGAAGAAGCATACTTGCGTCACCTTCTGTTTTGGGTCCCTATAGAAAGACCTGGAAGAAATTTTGAATTCAACACCCTTCGTAATTATTAAAAAAGAAAAAAGAAAAAAAGAAAAAGAAATCTACAAAATGAATTCAATGTGGTCAAAATAAACAAGCAGATTGAATTAACACGAACCTTCCTTGGTAGCTAAGGTGGAAAACTACAATTGAAACAACAAAACATAAATTTGACCCAAGGCAGAAACAGAGGGAAGGACCAAACCAATTATTAATTGTGTTGGTATGTTTTTGACGTGAATTTATAGCATTTGTTCAAAATATGAATCAACCACGTAAGATAAAAATATAATCCATAAACTCAAGATTTATTGATTAATTTGACCCAAATTTGATTTCATGGGAGAAAAATTGTAGGATTTTCCCCATAACTTTTTGATCAAACTAGCAAAGAAGAAAAAAAAAATGATTTTTATTAAACTATAGAAAATAAAACTTTGATAGGCATAAATTATGGTTTTATGTATAGTCTCATATTTTACAAGTTGTTGAAATTAATTTGAATTATAAAATAATTTTTTTAATTGAATACGTAAAACTTATTTCATAACAAATTTTCATTCAACTCTTTGGTAAATGTTAATAATAGGCGTAGTTATTGTCACATATAAAAGTTTTAGAGTCGCACAAAATTTTTAATATTTGTTTTTAATATGTTAATTTAATTTAATTTAATCATTAAAAATAATTAACAAGTGGCACTTGGGCCTGAGGCCACTAGATCGAAGGTCACCTGTATAGTGCATCCTTTTTTTTTAGACAACACTTTGAATTCGGTCTTTTACAAATTTGTTTAAAATAATAATAATAATAATAATTGACAAGTATAACCATTACATAATAACTAATATTTATTAACTAACAAACTAAAATCACCAACGACTTAAATAACTGAGTAGTCATCTCTTTCTGCTGTAACTAAGAGATCTTGATTTCGAGTCGCATGACATGCTGGTGGGGTGGTATAAGAGGTAAGAGATGATTACCTTTCATTGTGTAATTAAGATTAAAAAAAATAAAACTAACTAAGATCAATTATTAAGCTAAAATATTTAAATATTGTAACTAGCTATTTAAAAAAAATTAAAAAATTCATGTGATCATAATATTTTTATGTGCTATAACAACCATATTCATTAACAGTGCTTCACGATAAATTAAATCTTCTCTATTTTTAATTTTTTACCTATCCCTCACATTTACCTTCGTTAAAAGAAAAGAAAAAATGAAATTGAAGATAATATAAAACCCTATCTTTAACGCGTGGGGCTGAATCAAATGAAAATTAAAAGTTAAAACCCTTAGCTGTTTGTGGACAATTGAAGTTGCATCCCTCGAGTAAACGTGTGAAGAACCCACAAGCTGGGCTTCCTTACGCGTAAAACCGCAGCCACATATACAATTTAAGAATCAACCTTTACATGGAAGTATGGAACCTACTGAACCATCCCCGAATATTCTTCTAATGGCGTGTCTGTTATTGATCCCCAAAAAATTTAGGATATGTTCTGCTTGATATCTGTAATTGTTATCCAATAATTGACATTTACCTATTAATTAATATTTAGTAGTTAGTATTTAATTTAATCTTAGTCAACGATCTATTGATCTGAGTGGAAGGGGCTCAGTTCCCCTTAGATAAGATTTCAAATTCAAGTATTGTGAATAGAAAAATAGGTATTTGAAGAGTTTTCTTTCAAATGAGATCCGATGAAACTCAATTCCGAATTAATCGAAACCCAATATAATTACCGAATACTTGGAGGTTAGTACAAAAAAAAATAATAATAATCTTAACTTGTAAAAATATCTTTCTAAATATCCTAATCATCTTTTTAAAGAACAAAGTTATAAGCTCTAATGTCAATAAAACTAAACCCACCATTAGCTCTCATAGTTTGCTACTCAACTGTCTCTTAATTTTGTTTCACCTAACTAAAAATAATCTTAGTCGCCTAAAATTCTCCCATTTTTTATTAGATTTACAATTTTAATATTATGGAACCGATCACTTATTAAAAATTATAAAATATACGATTTGTGTATTACTTTTCTATCTTTTATTTGTCCTTTTTTTGGAGAAAAAATATTCTCTATTTCTTTAACATTATGCCAAAGAAAAACCTGTAAAAAAACTATAATACAATAGTAATAAACAACAATGCCTATATCAAATTAATTAAATATTCTACATTATTTTAAATTTTAAAAATAGTTAATGAAAGGTTTAGGAAAGGAAAGAGGTATCCTGTATAAAAAATAATACATATTTTGCCAAAAATAACAAATGGCAAAATCTAAAGCAAAATTTGTGGTTTCCCCACGAAACAAACATGCCCCATAACAAGGAATTGCGTCTCAAAGGTGGCTAAGTGAATTAAGTTCGATTCGAAGAATATTCCAATTTTCCCTTCAACCAACTTTTTTTCTTTTTAGGTACAGTCCCTCCCACAAAACCAATTTATGGTGAATTGGATTTTTAAATTCAATAATTCGTCTTAAAATCTTAATATTTAAGTTAAATTGATCAAGAACTCAACTCTCATTAATTACTTGAAAAGTACTCATTCGGCATAATTCTCTATGTTCAAAAAAACAAACCCAATCCCTCCCAACAAAAACCTAAAACCCTCAAATTCAATCACATCCACTCATCAAACCTTTGTCAACCAAAAAGTCATCCAATCCAACGGCTGATAATTTATACTGCCATTACCTTCTGGGGAACACAGGGAACCGCCACAAAAACCTTCCCGTAATATTCCTTTGGCATCAGAAAATTCCATTGTTGCTTTAACTAACCCTTTTCCTTTGTTCATATCACATGCGCATTACCTTTTTCATCCTGTATAAATACCCCTTTCTCCTCTGCATGATTCTGCACCAGCATTCCTCTTAATAATCAAAACCAGAGTTTTCTTCAAGAAATCGTTTCTGGGTTATCTTGATTCTGCTCCAAAATGGCCGGAATCGTTGTGGTTTTCGACTTCGACAAGACCATCATTGATTGTGACAGCGATAACTGGGTTCTGGATGAGTTGGGTGCTACTGAATTGTTCAATTCTCTCCTTCCCACCATGCCCTGGAATCCACTCATGGTATGTGTTATGAAAGTTTGAATCTTTCCTTCAATGGTGTCGTTCTGCGTGTTTATTTTTGGTTGGCAATGCAGTTCTCTTAGTGTTTGTGAAAATTCCTCTTTGAAAATTTACAGGACAGGATGATGAAGGAACTTCATTCACAGGGTAAGACCATTCAGGACATTGTTGAGGTTCTCAAACGGGCTCCTATCCATCCCAGGATTATTCCTGCAATCAAATCAGCTCATGCTTTAGGGTATGCTTTTAAAAACTCCCTCTTTGATTGATCAAAATTACTTTCTCCTGGTTTTCAGTTGTAAAAGTTTGGGAATTAATGGTGGGAATGATTCACTTCAGGTGTGAACTGCGGATTGTGAGCGATGCCAATCTGTTTTTCATTGAAACAATCTTGGCGCATCATGGATTGAGGGATTATTTCTCAGAGATCAACACTAATCCCGGCTTTATTGATGAGGAAGGAAAACTAAGGATCTTCCCTTACCATGACTACACCAAATCACCTCACGGCTGTACCATGCCCTGCCCCCCAAATATGTGCAAGGTATCATCTTTTAACCCTTATAGAGTTCAATTTGAATTTGCTCATCAAAATTTTCGTAGATATTTTAAAGGAAGGTTCTTGAACTGCTTCAAGGGTTTAGAAAGTTTTATTACCAAATAGAACATATTGGGTCCAATTTTATGGGAACTTTCTTTTCCTATATACAGTATAAAATTATTTCTTCTTATTATAACCTATTCTATCTATTAATCTTGGTTTGTTTCTTTCCGGACCCACCTACTCTTTTTAAACAATAGTTTTGGTGACGTAATTCATGTTATGACCATGACATAAATGGTCAAAATTTTTTGAATACAGCATTTTCTTCATTTGGATTATTGACATTAACCCTTTAATTCTCTTTGCTAATGCTGAATACAGGGGAAGATCATTGAGAGAATTCAAGCTTCCCTGGAGGGGAAGAAGAAAATCATATATCTGGGTGATGGTGCCGGAGATTACTGTCCTAGCCTTAGGCTTTCTGAGGCAGACTATGTGATGCCAAGGAAGAACTTCCCTGTATGGGACTTAATCTGCAGGAATCCCATGCTTGTTAAGGCTGAAATCCATGAGTGGTGTGATGGGGAAGAGCTTGAGCACATTTTGCTCGGATTAATTAACAAGATTTCTGCTGAAGAAAACAATGCTTCGTTGATTTCTGCTGATCATTGCAAGCTGCAGACAATCTCTGCTGCTCCTGCCCATGAAACCTTACCTCAAGCTCTCTCAGTTCATCGATAGAACTCTTAGGGGATGCCAATGTTGGGGGATGTGGGATGATGACTCAACTTATGTATCATTGTAACTGTAACGGAAGATTTTCACTTTTTTATTTTGCTTATTTTTCTTTTGAATAAAGAACATTATGAGCTTTGAATCATTGTAAATAATTGTTTTTAATAAAATATGACAAAAATTTTTTTGTCTAATTCTTTGGTTTTGATCATGTAGGGAATGGTTCATATTTTGAAAACTAGAATCAAAAACAAAAACAGACAACATTGATGGGACATACACCAAACTTCTTTTAAAATAATCATGGTGCCAATGCCAAAGCTAAAATTCTCGATGATGCAGAGGAATCTCTGTGGCAGGGACGGGCCAATGAAGGACAAGGAGGGGCAGCCGCCGGCCCTAAACTTTTGAAAAATATTTAATGTGGTACTCTAACTTTTATTTGCTAAAAATTTGGTTGTTATAATACGAATTTCAAGGATTATTTCAAATATAGAGACAATATTTAAGACCTCAATAAAAAGTTTTCAAAAAGTAAAGATATGATTTAAGTAAAATGAATTTTATGACAATTTAATTAATTAGAAATTAAGATTTTTAAACATTTCTTTATCCATTAAACTCCAAAAATAAAAACTTTGATTTTCTATTTAATCAACTTTAAACTCACAATTTTCTTTAGTATTCTTTATTTTCTTTCTTAATATTCTATATAATAATTTAAAGTTTTTTAATGACATTGAGGTACATTTCTACTTTTCATGATTGAATTTATAATTTTTTTTTTGTGTTAAATCAATCAAAATTAGAGTTCATTGTCTAAAAGAAATACTCTAGTAATTTTTTAATATTCTAGTATTTTTTTATAACATTAGTTTTTATCAACATGACCTCCAAAAAATTAGGAGAGAAATACCTTAAAATTATATTATTTTAATAAAATCAAAACTCTTTCATTCCTACTTTAAGAATATGTCATTTTTGTCCTTTTTTTAAAGTGAGTTTATTAAAATAATATAATTTTATAAACTTTTTCCTCCTAATTTCTCTTAGAGATTTTGTTAACAAACACATTTCTCTTTTTTAATCCATTCATCAATGATCGTTATATGATTTATTACAATGATATTTTATTTTTTATTATAATAAATATATTTATTTCTAATTTTTGTTAATAATATATCAATAAAAAAGATAACAAGTGAATCTTTTTATAAGATAAAAAAAGATTTAAAAAAAATTAGTATCATAAAAGATACTCTTTAAAATTTAAATATTTAATATTAATTTTCGCCCCCCTAACTGAATTTTCCAGCTCTGTACCTACTCTTTGGACACGACCATCAGAAGGGCTGCCTCTGTTTCTGGCTGCAACCTACATCTGCCCCCACAATTTAGACCACTATGAAATGTGCAAAGAATTTGGATTAGATGGAGTGGAATGATTATGGAAATAGCATCACCTAATGAGAAGAATCCCAGTAATCTTCCTTACATATTCCAAGCTTTGGATGCTCATTCCCCTGTCTCCTTATGTAGTATCTAATACCCTTGCCATCTTATTGAGCAAATAACTAACACACTACTCTGATTTCCCCCCTTTAAGGTATATGCTTGGTTTATTGCATTCAGTTCATGTAGCACAATTTCTATCGAATATGTGACCCGACAACAATGATAGTTTGGTAGTCTTTAATCTTTCTTTTACTTTTCTTTTTTCTCCTTTCATTTTTGGTCAATGTGGATTGATTTGGTCCTCTCAGTATGTAGATTTTGCTTTGTCTTGACTCTAAAAATGTTGGTTTCATGCATTGTTGAGTCATTACTTTTGTTGACAAAAAATAAAGTTATCGCTTTTTTTGCATCCTGTCCTTTTGTTGTTCATGCTTGAATGCACACATTAATGCATCCAAAATCTGTAAGTGTGAGTTTGTCCATTTTAAGCCGCATCTTTGAGATGCAATTTCCCTTGATTGATGGCATCTTGGATTAATGTAAAATCATCTAAAACATAGATCTTGGAGAGGATGTTCCATTTTTGATAAGTTGGAATTTTATAGATATTAATATAAAATTTTTGCCTTGATATTATTTATATTTATATGATTTTCATGAGATTTTAATTTCATATAATTTTTATTCTCTATGCAGAAAAGGATTTAATCTGAAGAAATTACAACTTTTAAGACCAAACCGAAGAAATCAGAATTATGAGTATCAAAGTGTCAGATCGATGAAAGATGAGGGCCAAAACAGTTTTACCAATAAAGAACTAAAATTGCATTTTGGCCCAAAATTCCCGACGCGGACTTCGGTTTAGGGAGGGAATCGACCACTCGAGCAATTTTCAGCAAGTCTCGCCAAGCCTTTAACATGTTGGTGTGTGTCCCATTTTTAGTTTATGGTGTGTAATGTCGCCTTATGGACTCATTTATTATAGATATCAATTTTTTATAATTAGTGTTGATAGCTTCGTTTTCTAAGCTGTATATAACTTGAAAACTTTGAATGCATGATTGCTATTTATTTGATAATATCTTTGACATTTTATTTTTAAAAAAAGTTAAGGATGATGGACTAATATGATTTGTATAGCATTATTAATAAATGGATTTGAAAGTTTATTCCTAAGTTAAGAAATTTTACATATCATAATATATCTTTATTTATTTAAATTTATATAATGATATGAATTAATAGGTAAGGATATATTTAATGTAATTTAAAAAGGTATATTACCAATAATTTAAGTAGATTAATGATAATTTTTTTTTTTTGTTGAAAGTAAAAAATTTTGAATTTGAATAGTATAACATATGGATGGAATGAGATAAAAAATGAGAAATGATTGTCTCCTATTATGCAATCAATTTTTTCTTTTAAGAAAAGAAAACATATCAAATAAGATAAGAAATTTTGCTATCACATAAATAGTAAAAATTTCAAAAACTTAATAATTTAAAATCTATGCTAATTAGTTACGACGAATGGAGTACCTTAATGCTTTATATCTTAATTCAATTTTATTTTAGTTTGTTACTCTTTTTAATTATTTTTAATTGAAGTTTTTTTTTTCTGATTATTTAAATAAATTTAGGGGTGTGGTTATGCCCACACACCCAAATGTTAAGGCCACACATGAGGTTTAATTTAACTAATATATTACTAGTTTATAATTTTTTTTAAGCGGTTAGTTATGATATCTAAAATTATCAACTTATAAAGCTGATTTCAATATATTAAGGGTCTGTTTGGTATAGTGGTTAAAATTCAAAGGATAACAGATAATATATAGCAAATAATGGATAACGGTAGTAGGTAATGGGTGACAGTTAGCGGATAGTAGATGACAGATAACGAAAAGTGAGTAACGAATGATAAATAGCGAATTCAATAAATATAATTATTTGGTTATACAATAGTTAACGATTGTTGTTTAACATTAAATGACTAATAAGAATATATTTAAAAACAAATAAATTTATAAAGATATAACTATGCATATAATATTTAAAAATTAATTGAATTGACAATACTCATATTATATTTTAATAATTAAATCAATTAAC